CAGAATATCCAGGAGTCTCCTGCATACAGACCGAATCTCATTGTCTTGAGTACGAAGGATTTAGCGCATAAAATACATTTTTCAGGCATCTTTGGCTAATATTTTGGCACATATTTTGGGTGGAACATTTTTCATATTTGATGCATTTTTGATTGAATTGGCAGAGCTATACTCTGAAAAACTTATTTTTAGGGTCAAGAAGGTAAAATTGGCAATCTTCCGGAATTCAGTTCTTCAATACATTGCATCCCTGTTATACTAAAGTATCTACTTACCCTGTAAATTTCACATTAACATCTAATCCTGTCTGTAATTTGTTCATAATTGCTATTGCATCATGCATGTTTTGTTCATAGTTTAGTTGAGCTCCCTCTGACAAGCGCTGTAGAAGAACAACATACAAACAAATGTACACATCAGTGATCTTAGGTATTAGTATTTCAGTATTCTTAAGTGATTTTTTGTATATACAAAACTAGTTTCAAATTTGAAGAAACCTTAAAATAACAGTTTTGAAAGGAATTAATTATGGTGGACAAAAATTAAGTAAGAATAGTTACAACTGAGGAAAATAAAAAATGCCAAGTCTATGATATACAAGGAACTCCCTAAAGATCTGGCCCCAGTTGTTTTAAAGGTGGATAACACTATCCACCAAACAAATAGATATCCAGTGGATACCTGTAAGTGTTAACAAAACAAACCACGCTATCCACTGGATAGTATAGTGTTATTTACCTTTTGAACAACTGGGGCCTGGCCCAATGAAAATGCAAGTAGCTGTAAGTTTTTAATTCACAACCATTTGTGACTCTATCTGGCCATGACTTGTGTTGACCTGCATTAACTTTGGTCAGGATCAGCTTTACCCAAAAAACATAGGAAGCTTTTCCAGGTTTCGAACTCTTTAAAGCTTAAAAAATTCCATGACTTTCCATGACCTTTTCTATAACCTTTCCGAGTTTTCCATGACCAAAGTTAAGCAGCTGTTCTCACAGCACTTGTATCAAAACAGTCATTTATTTAACATACTTTCCAACATTAAAATGCATGCTTGTTTTTATTTGTACTGACTCCTCTGTTATTTTTTTCCATTTTTTTTGTGTTTTTGCCTTTTTATTCTCAGAAAACATATTGCTTTGCCATGACTTTCCATGACCCTTACTTAAATTCCATGACTTTCCAGGCATGGGAAATGAAATAAAAAATTCTATGACTTTCCGAACCCTGTTTTCACCCTTATGCCATCCAATGCAAGACAAGTCAATTAAATGAACATCACCTGCAACCTTGGCTTTGTTTGGCATCTTACACCACGTATGTACAGCCCCCCCCCGGGGTTCTTCTATATGAAAAGGTCAGGCATACAAGTCGTCTTGCTTAGGGGTATACACCAACGACTGTGGTTTCATTTAGGGTGTTCATGATGAAACACCACTATTTTTTGCTGTCAAAGTATCTTTTAGGGTGCACTCAAAGCGGCAATAAATTTTTTGCTTGATTTCCCCTGTTTTCTTGAGTCTGGTCGACTAGCACGGGGTCCTTCCCTGAATAGTGGCTGGTAAATAATATCAAGCCTATATTGTTTTAAGTGGTATCTTTTAGGGGTCAAATAGAGTTCAAGCCATGCCTAGCCTGCGTAGCAAGCATTTCTGTGGGGTTCGGGAGCAAAGAATTACAGCGTGAAAAATGGAGCGAGTAAAAGAAGGGGGAGAGGGAAGGGAAGGAAGGAAGGAAACGCTTGCAGACAAACCCCTGGATTTTGAAAACCGCCCACTTGGCCTTTCATGCCTGAATGCGCACACTGAGATTTCGTGCTGTCATCGGCTGTCATAAATTAACCAATAAAATCTTCGGCCTTCCGTAGCGGAAGTGAACTTTGAACCAAAATAAAC